AGTGAAATTATTATTGGCCTTACGTCTGGAAACGTTGTATTAAATTTAATATTGTCGATATAACACAGCTGGCCTCGAAATTTTTCATTTTAGAATATATGAGAATGTAGTTTTATTCGTGTCTGATGTTAATAATATCGAATATGGTCGTTAGTCGACCGTTAAAAATGTCTGAAATTCTGAAATTGAGGGATAGGACAGAACGTCGATTTCGTGTTATGGAACTACGACTTACGTTGGATGAAGGAAACTTCGTTCCCACTTGAATTGTCTCTTTAGTTCAGAGTGATTTGAAAAGTCATTAAAATATTTATTGATGGCTACAGTTCGACACAATTTGATTAAATTAATAAACACGCAATTTCACTGTAAGTATACGTCATGTTGTAACCAGCTGAAGCCAATTCGTCATTTGTCTTTAAACAATCGAAGTGCGAAGAGCAAAAAGCAAAGAAGTATCGAACACCACCTGGCGTCTCTTTACTCAACTTACCAGAATGAGGTTAGGAAATCATAACCCGATTCTCCTGTACTAAACAAATCAACAATCTGTCGTCTGATTAATGTAGAATCTCTTCATTGGGTTACATTAAACATGAAGAAACTTGTGAATGCACCGATCGCTGGACGGGATGGACATTTTAAACACTTAATACAACATTGTTTAATAAATAAATTATTTTTAAAAAATGTAGCATGAACGGAAATGGGTTGCTTGACTTTTCGATAACTTTGTTTATGGGCAACAAACTTCTCAGTTCTGTTCTGCTTTTACTTTATCCAGAGTCTACATAAAATTGCAGGAACCTACTATATCCCAACAAATGTTTGTAACTAATTAAGAGTGACATTTTGCACAGACGGCAATCGGAGAAACGACATAACCTCTCCACTGTAGATAAATAAACAAGTAATGAAATATTGCTCATGAATATGATTTGTGAAAATTCTTACAAAGAATTTTGGTTTATTTAAATAAAATTAAATACGTCATCACACCGTGACAATCTTCTTCAACGCGACATTCATATTGGAAGAGGTAATTGCAGATAGCTGAATTGCCGATTGACCGTACGTACAAAGTTTCGCCAGCCATGATAGTCATTTGCGCATGCGTTGAAACCCTCGCACGCTGACTGGCGTAGAAGGGAAGATTCTCGTCGTATTAGTCGAATCGCTGATATCGATCAATTAAGTAGCCATGGATGGAAGGTAAGCTTGTGATATTTGGATTGGCGACGTCTGGTATTCCAACACCGGACGAATATTTCACAAAACCACTGCACACAGTTCCATTTTAAATGAGGGCTTGTGAGCGAGAAGACAGTAGAACGCACTTCCAGTAGAAAACACACTTTTTGTTGGTTAAGTCGGACACGTTCGTATTTTATAAACAAACGAAATTAACGACACATACATGTGTTTATTTGTTCACAGTAACACAAAATATTAACCAAATAAAAAATACCCTGATTAATAGTCATTTTCGTGGTCGTCATTAATTAACTAGGAGTGAAATATTAAACTTAAAAACTCTTAAATCTGAGGCGGCCATGCAGCAACAGGAAGTGAGGCAGTCAGCGCCACAACAGTTGTTGGAGGCCGGAAGTGACGTCACAGCAGCCGTGACCCAGGAAGGGGTAAGATTTGTGAGGGCCGTCTTTGTGGGTTTTTCTCACAGTGAAATTAGGTCAAAAGGTCAACCAGAGTGGAAGTTTTTTTTTGTTTAATTTCGTCACAGCTACACAAGTGACATAATTCTTCCACTTTAAATGTTAAGATACCCGTCCGTTGTCGATAATTAACACTGTAGACAATGTGAAATTAATGATTAATATATTAAGCTCCATGCCTTTAAATGTGATTCATGGTCTTTCATATTTAAACATCGTCCTTCTTGAAATATTATGTGTATTAGTATTTTGAATTAAGATTCTGATTAATTATTGAAGATGGCTGTCTTCTGGGTTGTAGTCTCTGATGATGGAGGCAGCAGCAGGGACCTCTGAAACGTCGGTAAACTTCTACCAGACTACAACCCAGAAGACAGCCATTTTTGTACTCACCGCCTTTATAATCTTAAATCCGACTCCTTAATAATAACTGTAATAAATATAAATTAAAAATTTCAAGAAATCCGTTTGTTTTAGTAAAATATGAAAGGGTAATCGGATAACAAAACAATTTCTTTTGTATGTGTTTTAGTAAAATATGAAAGGATAATCGGATAACAAAACAATTTCTTTTGCAAAGTCAGGTCTTTCGGTCATGGTTTTCTGGGTCGTGTTCACAGCAGTGAGAAATTCTCACGTCACATGTAATTAATCTGTGTGAGGTTGCAACGTTAAGAGAAGAAGTCTCTTAAAATAAAGCAAAGAAGAAGTAGGAGACGGTAAGGCGTCGTTAAACAGGAAATCACAACCGACGTCTTTACTGACGTGAGAGTTTCGAATATGTTTCGTTGTAACCGTTGATAGTAACAGAACTGTCAAACTTCCGATGTGCGATACACTTTAATATTATCAAGAATTAAACCTTAAAATTAAATATACATGAAACGAATCATGGTAATTCACGAGATGAAACGTAATCTTGTGCTTTGCTCAAATTAATATTGATAATAAACATCTTGGTCTTTTGGATGTAAAATATGACCCTAATAATTGTCTTTTACGTTGTTAAGTGCAACTGTGCCTGACTGTATATTGAACAGCCTGTATATTCGTGTGTGAATGAGGTTACAAGATGGAAGCTCTTCCCAGTGGAGCACAGAAGCGCTGTAGAAGTACACAATCCTTTCATCGTTACGTGCATATTTATTCGGTCAAGGTGTTTCTGCGTACAAGGCCCCTTTTCATATTTATCCACAGGGTGTTCCAAAAACAACAGAAATTACAAAGTGAAAACATGAATTTTTTAATGAATTTTCTTTTTTATGATGAGATACAGACATTAGGGGAGGGGGGTTTGATTTGCTGAAACCAATTCTTTTCTCGTTTATATAGATTGCGGACGTCTGCTTCTAAAAGTCAAGTAATTTTGTGGGAGAAAAGTGTTCAGAAAAAAAAAAAACAGTTGGACGTAAGAAGTGAGTGGACTCGTTGCTATTATGTGACGAATTTCTCACTTGGTGTTGATTTCCAATCTCTGAAAGTTGTCTGACATAAACTGAACTAAACATTCTGTCTTATCGTCATATTTGCGACGTTTATAAAGATAAAATTATCGCATGAGAATATTTATTTCTGCATAAATCTTCAACTTCCTTCCTTCATATCTCCTGATGAGACTGGAAATGGGAAAAAATAACTCATATTTCGGCTTATCGCCATGTTGTTATTTTTTTGAACAAGGTTGCAAATTTTAAAAAACAGCTTCCACTACACATTGCTACAGATCTTTCTGTCTGAGCTGTACTTGGCACATCGAAATTTCGCATTTTAAAGCTTCTTGTTAGTGTCTGGTTCCTAAATACGCTACTGCCCTCATGTTCATACCACATTTCACAAAATTGGCCTTGTATTAAAAGGTTCTGAAGTAGACAGAAGAATCTTTTGGCGTGGAACTGCGTTTAAACGTGTTTAGTTAATCAGTCATCTGACTTTTTTTTTGTGTGTGTTTCTCATCTTAATGTGATGAGTGGGCGGAACGGTGCCTGCCTGCGCTGCTGGTACCAACCTAGCGGTCACGAAATACTTGTCGAAAATATAAATCTACGAGATTTACGAGCATTGCGGGAAATGTTTCAATGTCATGTTTACTGCAGGAGTAGAAGGCAGATAAGGTCAGCGGTTTCATGTTTTTCCCAGTCTCTCCAGAGCAAACATTGACTAGTATTAAAAGACAGTCTTATCGTATCTGTTCTGAGTCTTTACCATCTGAACTGTCTCGCCTATCTCTGGTGTCATTCATACCACAGGAGGTCATTATGAACCATTTCTTTCATTGTTCAGAGCACAGCTGCGTTAACACGACTTTAATATTATCAAAGTCACAAAGACCGAGGGTTTGACTGCGTTCTCCCCCAACTGTTCCCAGTTTATAATGTAAAAGAAATAAAATAATTTACAAAATTCATTTTCGATATCTCATAACCAATTTATAACACTAAATAAAATAAACTACAAAATTTTAAAGGACAATTATAATGTTGGCACACTGGTCTTTTCATATACGTAATTCTCTCGATGAAAATTGTTCATAAGTTTGAAAATTCGTGAAACGAAAATAAAATTCCCCTTAATTTGAATGTAATAAATTCTGACATGTTCCCATATCCCAGAATATCATACAGGACTTCTCCCAGAAATTTTAAAACGCAAAACAATTATTAAAATAAGAACATTATTATATTTATTATATTTTTAAATAACTATTGGAGTGTTGAATCAAATTTTTGCATAGCACAGCGTTATTTACAGTGTAAACATAATAATTTTTATAAACAAAGTTTAAACAATTGTTTATATTAAGAACTTTAATTACTGTAAGTATAGAAATATTAATCCTGATGAATGATATTTGTTATTCGTTCCTGTAAGAACCCTACTGAAACCGTCTTAGTCAGAATATCTGTGAATTTGGAAGGTAGAGGATGGGTGATGCACTTTTGAGAGAAAACATAAAGTTTAAAACCAGGCCTTTCACTTAGAAGAGAGTGCATTGCACCTCTGAAAATACAACGAATTGAGAACAGAAATTACTCTGCCTTGTTTTAAAAATAGAACCTGTAGATTCGTGCGTCATATGTCTGCGGAGAATCGATAGTAATCGATTTGCCTTGTGTTTCTTTAACGGGTCGTGTCTGATATTGTCATATGATAGTCAGAATGCAAGATATTTTAAAAATACCAGATTTATTACCACCGGTGAAGAGGATTGTTAAATCACTGTTTCCACTTAGGCCATACGACGAAATGAGGCATTAGGATTTTATTATCAACCAAAATTCATCAATTCAAATAGTTTTGAAACACTTAAAAGTTGGTGTAGTTACAAGATGTGTATTTGTTAAGAAATTTACCCATTATTATAATAAATTAAGTTTTGGTGAACCATGAGGGTTCCGAAATATGTGACAATGTATACAGGTCGATTATGAGAAACGAAAATTTTGGCTGAAAAACTTAAACAGATCAATTGGGAGACGTAGGTAAATATGGAAAAATAATGTTGAAATATAACTTAGTGTAATATGAAATGAGCTGGATTCGACTGGCAGAATAGCTTTCATTCACGATGATGAACCTCTTTCGTCATTGAACTCAGGTAAATTTCTTGATGAGGTAAATAACTGTGAAAGTTCACTTTTTTCTTATAACAGTGCGGATAAGCAGAGCCGATTTTAATCGGCCATTTTCAGGTGTCTTAACACATCTCATCTCTCTTAGAATTTTACGTGAGATATTGTACTGTATTTTTTTATTATTTTAAAAAAATGCTATTTTTATCCTGTATTGGATTTTTAGATTTAAACAATAATGAACAGAAGAGGGGATGATATATTTTAAGGTAATGGAGTGACCAGTTCCTCTCCCAAACCTTATCTTCATCTCTTAAAATTTACACTTTCGTATTTTAGCTGGGAAAGCCAATTTTCCTATGCCAAGGTTCAAACGTTACACTCTTCTATTATAGTGTTGAGTAGTTAAGGCAGTTTTCTGTTATTTGCGCAGTCAGAAGGATTGTTACGTGCCTGGATTTATATCAGTCAGCACAGTGCTAGTTTCTCACTTTCCCTCTCGTATTTTGAATCGTAAATTATTAGGCAGAACACTCACATGTTACAACGTGATCAAGGAGTACCACCTTGTAGCTAATTTTACCTGCATGTTCACAGTTTACGTTTCGTGTCTCAATTATCTACCTAAATGGACGAAAAATCTTTTGTTAATTACTTTACCAGACTTTTTCATTAGGAAATGTTTGTATGTGAACTTCGAAACAACGAAACACGTGCTCAGGAATCGAATATTTATTATACAAATGTCTTCCTTGAAGACGTCTTTATCAGGGTAGCAGTACGTGATTCATAGAGAAATTTAAATACGAACAGTTTTATAATTTAACGACCTAGGCCTACTTTAGTTTTAAAAATATCAAGAAGGTGGAATAATTGCTCAGTGTTCTTAAAATTTCATGTTTTCACCGTATGATCGCATGCAATTTACTTTTAATAACATTTAATAGCTGAGTCCGTACCGCAAAGAAAACACGACACTTCGGCAATTTCAAATATCAGATTCTTAATTCTATTTTCGAAGGTAATCGCTGTTTTGCAGTGAAAATCATACAAATTCCATACATAATGCAGATCTATTGATTATAGCAGCAGCTGGTACATATACGTACCACTAGACTTCAGAGAATTACGTCGGCTTCGATGTCCTACTAACAGAGAAGTGAATATTGACATCGCGTTTTCTCCTTATTTATTATTAGACAGTCAACAAAAAATCATCTTGCGTGTATTTCGAAGGTCTGTAGTCGTTAAGACATCTATGGTTTCAAGGTCGTTGCGTATTTTCCCAGGAGGTGAAATGCAAAAATAACGCCGTGGTTCGGTTACCACCTCCTCGTTGTAGAATCCCGGTGGAATCGCACACGTGCCTGTTGGTACCCTCTAGTCACGTGGCCACTGAATTTCACTGCAGGTGAAATTGGTGACATCAGCTCCCCCAACCTCAACTTCGCCACCGCAGCTTCGCAGGAGCGACTCCCGGGGTGCCCTAAATGTGGTGCGCCCTTTGCTGAGAAGAGTCGACAGCAGGACCTCGCTTCCTCCACGACCCTTTCAGCAGGTACGCCCGGTAAGGGCCCCCTTCATCAGGCCCCCGTTCAATGGCCCCTCGCCTAGGGGCCCTGAACCTGGTCTCCGGCCCCCTCCGCCAGGATTAAGACCATCCCCAAGATTATACCTTGCTCAGCCGCCCTCAAGAGATGGCGTCGTCACTCCGGTAGGCGGTGGTATGGGCGTCGATACGTCTAGGCTGCAAGAACACGGAAGCATCACTAATAACGGGCAGAAGGAGTTAGACCCGGAGCATAGACGGAAAGTGTTTAACTTTATCAAGAACAGAATCCACAGCATGGAGCACCAGACCCAGGCCGAGGACATAGTTCGTCCTGTTCCCCGCGCCGACGCAGACGTGTCTTCGGTCAACGGACACATAAGCGAAAGTGCGTCGCAGAAGAAATCCCCGGAACCTCTTAAAACGCCGTCTGTATCGCCAAAAGTTCCCGCAGTGGTTCAGTTAGAACAGAAACCGCCTTCAGTCACGTCAAACATACCTTCAGACCCGCAGAGACAGCCGTCATTTTCTGCAAAGATACTTCCGACGACTACTTCTGAGTCTTCGGAGGTGTCCAGCACGATTTACGCTGAAATACAGAAGCCTGCATTGGCCGCATCGAACTTGACTTCGTCTGAACCACAGAAACCTCCATCTGCTACATCCAAAGTGATCCCCGGTGAATCGGAAAGGCCTTCATCGGTCGCGTCGAACTTGACTTTCACCGAATTACACCGACCTTCGTCAGCAGCATCCAACTTGAGTTTTGCCGGTCTACAGAGGTCTTCGTCGGCGGTATCGAACTTGAGTTCCGTTGATGTGCAGAGGCCTTTATCGGCCGTATCAAATGTGATTTCCGCTGAATTACAGAAGCCTCCGTTGACTGCATCCCCTGTGATTGGCTTCGAAGTTCATGGGCCACAGTCCATCATAGCCCCAGGGATTCAGAAGCCAGAACTCGGCAAAGCGCCGAAGCCTTCCGAGATACTTCAGAACGGACAGGCCGTCGGCGCGGGAAAGGATGAGGAAGACGATGATAAGGACGTGGTCATCGTGATGACACCTGACGCCCAGTCGCCGTCATCCCCAGAAACGGTGAATGAGGGCAAGACGTCTGGACCAGCAGCTGTTGAAGAGCAGAAGACAGGCGTTTCTGTCGGATTTAAGTCGCAGATTGAAGAGAGTCTGAGTTTTGGGACCAAGACCAACGGGGCGGTCTACAAGAAAGATTCTTCGAATGAACGAGAACTGACGGACGCTGGGAAGGAGGATGATTCGTTCAAGGAAAAAACTGGGCATGACAAAAGCGAATCTCTGAAGGAAGGAAAAGATAAGGAATCACCAAAAAAGGAATCCAAAGATGAAGTGATGAGGAAGTCAGTAGAAATAGCGAAGGATTCAGCAAAAAGTGATATAGAAAATGTACTTGAAAGCACGAAAATTGTAGAGAGTAAAGCGATCGAGAAAGAGTCCACAAAGGAAAAAGAGTCGCCCAAAAGAGAAGTAGATGGTACTTCGAAAAATGCCGCTAAATCAGCGAAAGAAACTGAATTAGTCACAAAGGAAGTATCAAGAATAACAGGACAAGTAGAAGATGTAAGAAAAGAATTAGGAAAGGAGAACGAGAAAGGACACGGTCAGGAAGAATCAGTTTCCTTGAAGAATGGAATTTGTATTAAAGGAGAACAGAATGATGTACAGCCTGAAAAGGAAACGGAAGAAAGAAAGGAAAAGAAGATGATGGAATCTCCAAAGAAAGCCGCAGGAGAGGAAAGAAAGTTTCCGACGAAGGATCAGAAACACGAGGTTGAAGGAGGAGATGCGATTTCGGTGGACGTCGAAGCGACTGTGGAAAAGTCGCCTGGTGGAAAATCTGAGAAATTTAAGGAGTCTGGTAGAGGGAAAGAAGATGGAGACAAGGCGAAAGTGTCTTCGGAAGAGAAGACACCGCAGGAACTCGAAAGGAAGGGCGAATCGATGAAAAATAAAACAGAAAATTCGCTCAACCAAGAGGCATCAGAAGTAAAGAAAGATTTGCCCAAGACGGAAAAAGCTAATGAAGTTGGAATATTACAAGATTCTTCAGTACTGGCTGTTGAAGAAGGTAAGAAAGAGTCTCCGAAAAGGAGAGACGAGAATCAGAGAGAGAGAATTGAAGAATCTATGAAGAAAGAGAAGGAAGGATTTGGGGAAGAGTTGCCAACAGAGGAAGGAGAAATTGTGGTTGGAAAACAGGAAGTGTCTTCTAAAACGGAGACGGAGGGAACAGAGAAATCGAGCCCCGGGAAGGAAGAAGGAATACTGACTGTTAAGATGGCGGACTCGAAATCGGGAGACGTAGAAACTCAGAGAAAGGAAAAGGAAATCGAGGAGGGAACAGAAGCTCTCGAGGAAAAGACTTCGACGAAGAAATCTCAGGCGAAGGATTCAAAATTACCCTCTTCTGAAGTAGAAAACGGAGTTCTTGGCCCGGAAAGTGTCTCTCCGGCTCTTTCGAAGTCGGCCACGCCCAAAAAGTCCAGAATCACTTCAGAATCTGAGTCGGCCACGCCCAAAAAGTCCAGAATCACTTCAGAATCTGAGTCGGCCACGCCCAAAAAGTCCAGAATCACTTCAGAATCTGAGTCGGCCACGCCCAAAAAATCCAGAATCACTTCAGAATCTGAGTCGGCCACGCCCAAAAAATCCAGAATCACTTCAGAATCTGAGTCGGCCACGCCCAAAAAGTCCAGAATCACTTCAGAATCTGAGTCGGCCACGCCCAAAAAGTCCAGAATCACTTCAGAATCTGAGTCGGCCACGCCCAAAAAATCCAGAATCACTTCAGAATCTGAGTCTGCTACCCCCAAAAAGTCCAGAGCTCCTCCGCAAACGTTGGCATCCACTGTCAGAGAACGAGGCGGAAAAACGACGCCTGAATCCGCAGACGAGAAGTCACCTAGAAAGACAGCTCAGAAGGATCAGGAGGACGCCAAACTTAGGAAGAGGGTAGTGAAGAAACGTCAGAAAGAGTCTCCTGAAGATGTCACGAAGAAGCAAGGTAACAGCACTGCTACCAACGTCACAAATTTGAGAGATTTCTTACTCTATATTTAGACTCAAATCTTCTGCTGACAGTATCACTGATGATAATTCTTAAATTATATTTGTTCTGACGTTAATTTTGCTGGAATTAAAACAGAAGTTAAATTTTCATTTATCGAAATTAATCGCAGAAATTAGTGTACATTTTACCAGTTAATATCGTCAATAAAGAATTTTACGTGAGTTTGAATCGGAAAGTGGAAAAAAAAAAAAAAAAATCTCTTCAAAATTTTGTAATACAGAAAGACCTCATTATACGTATCTTGTGGATAACACGACCTTTTACGAAAATTTTACGTAGAATTATGGAATACAGTGAAAAGTACAGTAACAGGTAATTTCCATGCATATAAATTGACTACTCTGACTTAGTGTCAGTGGTACCAACTGTTCTGGTTTCGTCTGTTAGCGTCGAGACTTATCAGATTATATTATGAATCCGTGAGTCCTTGGTTCAGTTCGGGCCGCAGCGAAATCCAACTTGAAGTCTATTAATTTATATTTAATTAAATTCATAAAATCATCCAGCTTGAATGTAAATAAATTTGTTTAAATCTTGTCAGTCTAATCACAATAAAATTCCTATTAAAAATATTAAAATATTACCATAATTAACATTTAAATATTTAAAATATATTAAATGATATTCTCTATCGAAATGTTCGAATATCATTTAATATATTTTAAATATTTAAATGTTAATTATGGTAATATTTTAATATTTTTAATAGGAATTTTATTGTGATTAGACTGACAAGATTTAAAAAAAATATATATTTATCACAATATGACGCAACTTTATCATCTCGTAAATAAATTTTTAAATTCAATCAGCTACAGTACCAACATCAGTAGATAAGTGAATATTTAAATTAAATTTTCATGACCACTCAGGCTAGGAGGGGTCCGGTGGGGAATAAGGGGTTGATAATTAAGTGTGACTCGGCAAAATTTAGGCAATATTAAATACAAGAACCAATAATTCATGAAACACGGCGTGTGTGAATAAATCATGTGCCATCTGATATCTAGTTCACTGCAAAATATTTCACTGCCCAATCGATAGTCAGTACAAAACGTAAGGGGCAGCTCTTCATCTGTACCGATTCTCAATCTGACAATCGATTCGCAATCTGACAGTCGATTCTCTGTTTCACAGAAGGTGACCACGACAGCGGAGTCGATGAGTCAACTCAAGGAAATGTAAGTACATTACAAAACTTCACTGTGTGTCCTTCGACGATGGGTTTAGAACTTGGGAATATTGTTTGCTTTGAAACTTTATTGTAGTCGAAATAACCCAAGAAAGGGCAAGGATTACTTAAACATTCGTTGGGTTAGAACAGGCGTGTCTTACATAAATGAATTAATATACGTTCTTATGTATTAATAGACGTATAGGACGAAATCGTAATTTTAAAATTACAAACAAGTATCGATTAAGAATCGGATTGTTTGTTAATTTACGAAATTCATGTAGACATTCATTTCACATCTTTATTCTGTTTATTCACCTTTCCAAAATATTTAATTTTAAGAGACAGAAAAATGTAGTTTCAATCGCTTGTTTTGTATAGGAATAAAATTTGATGTCTCAGTTCAAGGGAATAACAAAACTTGAGAAAAATATGGCGACCACAAAGAGGAATTAAGAATGGAATAGAGACAGATATATGAAAAGTATATTCATGAATACGGCTTCATCCAGTGATATCCTAGTTGATTAAATTTAAGAATATTCCAATGATGGGTTCAACATGTCGTGCATGAAGGACTTATGTCTACTAGGTTATGACTAACCTGAGAAATCAAGGCGTAGACTGCAGAATATATACACATTATGTAGTTTGTAAGGTAATTAAAATTGTGAGTGAACGGAAACATACTGGGGTGTAAGATTGGTCTAGCGGTTAGAACGCTGGCCTTGTAATCCTGGGGTCTCGGGTCCGATTCCCGGCGGTGCCCGAATTTATAACTTGTATTGGGCAAGGCCGTGGTCTAGGCAACACGGAGTTTTCCTCCGTGGCATCCCAACAATTACTCCATTCACACACAGAAGAAGGCAATGGCAAACCACTTCGGGATCATCTGCCAAGAACGTATATGAACAGGTCCCAGCCCGAGAAAAGGATGGAAGGACCCTGTTCATATGGACCTGTCACACACAGAAGAAGGCAATGGCAAACCACTTCTGGATCATCTGCCAAGAACGTATATGAACAGGTCCCAGTCCGAGAAAAGGATGGAAGGATCCTGTTCATATGGACCTGTCGTCACACAGAACACTAAATAAATAAATAAGACCACTCATTCAGAAGCTACCGTCACCTGGTGTCTGTAAATGTAAACGTTTTGCTTTCAGAGTTATAAAATCTGCTAAATGAATCTTCGAAATTCGCCTCGCAATAATAATGTAAAATACAAAAACTTTAGTACCGATATGTATCAGGGGCTTTGATTTCATGTTAGCCGTATCATCTTAGCTAACAGTTTGACAGACGAAATATGAAAAGTCTTTCCACAAAGAACCAATCAGATAAAATGCATCTTTAGCAGCTGGACCCAGGGAGTCGCTGTTAGCAACCTCGTCCTGGCTTAACGTGGCCCTGCTGTTTGCGCATGCGCATACAAAAAAAAAGTGTAGAGTTGCGAGACGACGGGCATCCGTGATATTTTTAAGCTAAGATGTTAACCAAAGCTCAACTGCCAACACGCTACCTGTAGAGGAATTTTTGAAACTATAAATTTATTGTAAGCTTGGTTCAAAAGTGAACTTCGAAACTAGGAAAGCAATCCAAATTTCTGTGACTCCATGACGGACATTTCCAATGAAAAATCCTCGCATTTATCTGAATTACAACGCGTAATATGAAAAGGCAAGCTTGGAACTCCCTAATTACTTCTTACTTTACGTTTCGTTCCTTATTTGTTCCTTAACATTATTAATTTTTAGCTGTCTTATACTCAGTTGCCAAAATCTTGACTGTCACCCCACACCCAGCCACAGAATTTGTCTTACATTCACCATATTTCTCGCCTCGCCTCTAGTTACAAAATAGGTCTACGAGTGGTTTTCGGCGTGCACGAACCATTCTATTATTTATTACTGCCATCTATATAATTTATTTTGAAATATTAATTACTTCATGGTATTTATAGCGACGTTTCGACATTAAATATGCAATCTTCGGGTCATCCTGAAATATACGTTCTGGTTCTACAAACTAAACACTTCCGTTCATTATCCACTAATGGAAAATGACCATTAAAATTCAACAGGGAATAATTCTTTCGTGTCTTCCATATTCATTTATCCATCTAATGTCCTTATCTCTGATATATTTTAGATTTGTTCTTTTTTTTCTCGTATTCTTCTAAGTTTTGTAAAGTGAACTTGTAAATTGTAACGGCAGTGCGTTAATGAGTTGCTTAAGTACGTATGAATTAAATCGCTGTTTATTATCAGGGGTTAACAACCTTCCGAGACCTTGGGCTACAGTATTTTTGAGTTTATTTTGAGTTTTTTTTTCATATTTTTAATGTTGGGGGGTTATTAAAAAGGTAAAAGAGGTTTGCATTAAATGTCGGTGTTAACTCGAAGAGAAAATTGTGATAATTAGTAGTGGAAAAGAATTAATTATTAAAAATATTGATTACATGGTATAAAAACAACAGGTTAGGAAAGATATTATTTCTGATCTGTGAACCTGGGCAAGAAATTTCTTTAAAAAAAAAAAAAAAAAGGTTCACATTTCGACGAGATTAATTTGAAATGTTGGACACAAAAATAATCTAGTCTCGATTTAATAGAAATTAAGGTTTCAAAGTCTACACACAGACTAACCATCAAATATGAAATTAGAAATTTAACATTTATAGTACGGATTTAGTGAAATGTGACCCTTCCTCACACCCAATTTAATATTTTCACTTTAACATCAATTAACACGACTTCACAACCCAGAAACATAACCTCAAATGTCACTTATTAAGCCAAGCTTATTTCTTTTATTTCAATTATTTCTCGATAGGCTATTTTTTTTTATAGTGTGGACTTCGTCACGTTGTTGAATGATCTGTAGTATCAGTTTGTCTTTCCAAACGAAGGTTTTCTGAAATATATTTAGATGAAGCAAATACTATATAAAATATTTATTTAACAAGACCAAAATGCAGGACAGTATTAAATATTGACGAAAATTTATGCAATGATGGACCGAATATTTAAAGTTTACACTGGGGGTTGCACGTAAAATAATATATTAATTTGTCGAATTTGGATTACATTTGAATTAATTATTTTGACTTTTGAAATAGAGCTTCTGATTTCAATTTTCATGAGAATTTATCCGTTCAGCATAATTAGCAGTTATTATTTCAGAAATTAGAACTCATCACGAGCCATTCAGTTCCCTGTGATTCTGTTAGGTTGGCATTTCACACGAAAAAGAACGCGCGAACGTTCTCAAAACGAAATACTTTTTCGAATGTTTAAATTTCCTTTTACCATGACTTAAATTATAATCATAATAACAAGAAAATTGTGTAAAAACGTAGAGACGATAAAAAGATATGAATAAATATGGCACTAACTGACAGGTCGTTGAGAAAGTTACTTGTAATCTTTGCCAGATATTAGGATAACCAAATGTAAGAGTATAAGATGGACGGGTATGTAGCATGTGTACAGGATATAATAAATGCACACGAAGTTTATGTCAGGAAAGCTGAAGGAATAAATTACTTGGAAAACCTGGCGTACGCGAGAGTATAATATTAAAGTGGATCTTAAAACGAATAGCGTGTGAACCGGGGGTAGAGTCCAGCTGCATCACAGCCCGGAGGTCCTCGTTTAATATTTTCAGTGCCTTGGATATTTCTTATTCGTTGCAGTGTTCACAAGAGGTCGCTACTGTACCCGGTCATTGTCCACTTGATTTAAGTCTACATTTTTGCAGCGTAATTCATCATGATCATGGATGAGGTTGTCTCGAAGATCTTTACGTCTTCTGTCGAATATTTCTGACTTCTTAAGCCCTTAAGTTTCAATTTATAGAACGTCTTTCGGAATCAATTCATATTCATTTTCCCTAACTGTTTTAGGTTATGTGTTGAACTTTATACCATGATTGTAACGATTCCATCGTTACGGCATCGAAATTTAAACTCATACACGAATGTTCCATTCCTAATATTTTTGATTAAAGAATGACAAAAATAAAGCGGTGAAAGATAATTAATTACAGATTACATTTTGCGTGAATTTACTGTACGCCACGTATCTTACGAGAAATTGTGCAAGTCGTTTCTTCAATGGCCGACTGTCTCTCTTCCGGTTCCAACCAGTCTTGCCACACGTTGCAGGAACCCACCACGAATGGCGAGATCCACAAGTCGCCTTCTAAGATCCCCAAGAAGAACGCTGGTGGCGTCACGTCACCCGTCAAGTCGCCCGTCAAGACGAGCGCCAAACCCAAGACGCCCGACACTGCAGCTACGGCGGCTCAGTCGGATAAGAAAAGTGAGTACTTAACCTCAGTACATATCAGATGACATGATTCCATGTCGTAATGTTATGTTCGGAGGAAGAATTTGTGATTATTTTTTAAAACTGAGGAATTCTTGCTACATTTCAGTTCGGAATACTTCATATTCCCATTTATTATCTGAAACGCTGAAGATTAATAAGCAGAAAAGATGTAATTCTAACCAGGATTTGGGGTTTTTTACGGTGGTGAGTCTGAAGATTGCTGTCTTCTGGGCTGAAACGCCGTGTAGTCTGGTAGAAATGAATTTGTGACAGATTACAGAAGACAGCTGTCTGCAATCTTACCAGTTTTTATGCGGGTTTGAAAACTGTTTTCAGGCACTGAGAATGTTCGAGAAAAGAATGGCCGGGAAGATACATTTTGGCGTTAGAGAGAGAGAGATGGAGTGAAGTAAGGAGAGGATGGATAAATTTAAATACTGAGTATACGAAGTTAAGATGAGCTAGAATGTTGAAGATGAAAAACTGATATAAATTGTACGTCTTTGGTCTGAAAATCTAAGACGTCATAAATTAGGAGATGTAGATGGAAGCCAGAGCCACGGTGGTGTAGCGGTTAGAACGCTGGCCTTGTAATCCTGGGGTCTCGGGTTCGAATTTATAACTTGTGTTGGGCAAGGCCGTGGTCTAGGCAACACGGAGTTTTCCTCCGTGGCATCCCATTTGGCGTTAGAGAGAGAGAGATGGAGTGAAGTAAGGAGAGGATGGATAAATTTAAATACTGAGTATACGAAGTTAAGATGAGCTAGAATGTTGAAGATGAAAAACTGATATAAATTGTGGGTCTTTAGTCTGAAAATCTAAGACGTCATAAATTAGGAGATGTAGATGAAGCCATATAGTTAGTTAGTTACGTAGTCGAATTCTTTGTTATTCCTCAAAGTCTGAAGTAAATGGACCGTATCCTCACGAAGGACAACGGAACAGGTCGATCTAGGAGCAAATGTGCCTGCAATCTTTTGTAACTGTGTGCGTGTTAGTCATTGCAAGGTACTTGGAATGGAAGCCCGTGTGTTGCAGAGGTGCCGATGAACAAGGTGCAGGTGGGTTCGGCGCCGTCACCCAACCTGAAGACGGTGCGCTCCAAGATAGGGTCTCTGGACAACGCGAGCTACAAGCCGGGCGGCGGGAAAGTGAAAATCGAGAACCGGAAGTTGGACTTCAGTAAGACGCAGCCGAAGATCGCCGCCAAGAACGAGACGTACGTCCCGGGCGGCGGCGATAAGAAGGTGAGTGGACGACCGGAAGTCTATCTTCAGGGTGAACACACCTTTTGAAGCATAAATACCACTTATCCCTTAATGAGCCCGAACATGACTGTCTCTGAGTTATAACGCCTTGTAGTCTGGTAGAAGTTTAAGACGTTTCTGAGGTCTTTGCTGCCTCCATCATCAGGGCTAATTCTGAAACCTTTGTAAACTTCTACCCAGAAGACAACCATCTTGGTACTCATCTCCATCAAAAAGTAAAGTCCTACTTGAATGAGTTATTTAAGCTCTAAGAACATCTGAGGTTATTTTTATGTTTGAGGAATGGTAGAGAAAGATATGAGATGCCCGAATGTGAAATGTTATGACGAACTATTTCCGGGAGCAGGGAAGATCCCCGAGAAAATCAATTCGGGGGCGTTTGTTTCCCGAGCCAGATTGTGTCACGAACATATTTTGAGGGCAACTACTAATAACTTTTTTCTCTGTGTAGAAAATAATGGAGATAGAAATCACGAAATAATTAATCTGCTCTCGACGTGCGATCAGACAGACGGACAGACGGCGCGTAGTTAATTAAACATTTAGTTGCGAACTCGCCAAACATTCGCTGAGATTATTGGTCGTAGACACGTGATAGAAACATGATTCTTCTCTGATTGGTTGTCTTTGCGAACGAAATTCGGCAATATGTAAAAAAACAAAACAGATCAAATAACTAGCAATAGACATTGTATAACAGCGAGTTCACTCTTACTGTGGGTCTCTGGTTTTGTCTGGACGCAGATGCTAGTGAAAGTGGTTACTGCGCAATCGAATAGCGCAGGCTGTTCCAACAGTTCGCTTGCTTACCCGTCTTAAATGGATATTTTAAAACTTTTATTTAAAAATGAGCAGATTATAAATACATGCGACATTTGTTTTGTTTTCAGTCAGCAAGATTGATGATGTATTTTATTACTGATTAATGTCGTTTATAAATATTCTTTAATGAGATGATAATGTTGCGTCATATTGTGATGATTATAATTGTTTAATTCGACGTGCGATCAGACAGACGGACAGACGGCGCGTAGTTAATTAAACATTTAGTTGCGAACTCGCCAAACATTCGCTGAGATTATTGGTCGTAGACACGTGATAGAAACATGATTCTTCTCTGATTGGTTGTCTTTGCGAACGAAATTCGGCAATATGTAAAAAAACAAAACAGATCAAATAACTAGCAATAGACATTGTATAACAGCGAGTTCACTCTTACTGTGGGTCTCTGGTTTTGTCTGGACGCAGATGCTAGTGAAAGTGGTTACTGCGCAATCGAATAGCGCAGGCTGTTCCAACAGTTCGCTTGCTTACCCGTCTTAAATGGATATTTTAAAACTTTTATTTAAAAATGAGCAGATTATAAATACATGCGACATTTGTTTTGTTTTCAGTCAGCAAGATTGATGATGTATTTTATTACTGATTAATGTCGTTTATAAATATTCTTTAATGAGATGATAATGTTGCGTCATATTGTGATGATTATAATTGTTTAATTTTAACCGTCTAATCACAATAAAATATTTTATTAAATATTAAAATATTGGTATGTTTTTAAAATTAAAATTCCTCAATATATTATTTTGTTTTCTATCTCTAATATTTTAATATTCATTTAGTCTTTATAATATTATTATTTAATTTACAG